ATGCAACATTCTTTTAATTTTCATTTATTTCTGTTTACATTCCATTTGTTTCCACAGACACAATATTTTTCTTTTATTTGTTTATTTATTTTTTGGTTATGATTTTTTCCTCCAGGAATACTATATTAAAAAATAGACTACACAACATAAACATAGTGACATGCACTTTTTAGAATAAAGTAAAAAAATTAAAATAAAAAAATAATATATATATATATATATATATATATATAAAATAAAGTAAATATAAAAGTAAAAATGTATATGTACATATAACATTTATAGTGTCGCCAAAAATATTATATTTCTATTTTATGAACTTTCTATTCATCAAGGAATCCTGAAAATAATGTGTTCCACAAAATTATGAAGCAGCACGACTGTTTTCAACATTTAGTTTTGTGCATGCAAACTAAAACTAAAATATATTACATTGATTTCATTGAAATAAATAGTCATTTTTGGCCACCACACAAGCAGCACCAGAGGGCTAGAACCACATTACAGTCCACTAAAAAACACCTCAGAGACCACACAGTCAAAGCACTCATAATTTCTGTAAGAATCTAGTTATCTGCTCTTTCAACCTGTTGTGTTCTGCGTTTTACCTTCATTTCTGTTGTGTTTGCAGCGGTGAGAAATCAGCATCACGTGAACTCATTTTCACTCATCTCATTACGGAGCGGCTGCACTGCACATGCTGTGCTTTCCGGGATAATAAAATCACTTTCAGCGCTCTTTGATTCTGGTGCTGAATAAATGATATGAGGGGAGTTTGTGGAGGCCGGCGGTGCATTAGGCAGCTGCTGTGTTTCAGTGGGTTTGTGAACGGCTCTCTGTCTCCTGCTCAGCGCCGTCTGAGGAACATAAAACCCACAGCCAAGACTCTACAACAACACAGATTACACAACATCACTGCTCTGTCTCTCTGCTCTTGTAGGACATCTTCCACTGGCAGATCATGGATGGCAACTTAACTCAGAATATACACAAATACTTACCAACGACAGGTAAATGTGGGAGTCTTAAACAGGGTTATTATAGTCAACTGATAATGAAACTAAAAAAGAAAAGAAAAAAAAAAGAATTGTTACTTGAAATAAACATGAACTGACAAAAATGATATATTATATAAATTATATATAATATTATACATTATATAAAAAAAAAAATATATATATATATATATATATATATATGTGTGTGTGTGAGTATGTGTATGTATATACAGGGTATATATATATATCCTTTTTATTTCAGCTAGCTGCCAAGGCAACATTTCGCATTTTAATTTAACTTAATTTATTAAGTTAAATTTAGTTTAACTTGTACTAAAACAAATAAAAATTAACTATCTAGACAAATATATATATATATATATATATATATATATATATATATATATATATCCAAGATGATTCCCCAAAAACTTCTAAAAAGGACTACAAAATTACTACAACTTTAGCTAAAATTAAAAAATACAATTATAAAAAATAACATTCAAAATATTAATAAAAACTATAATAGTATCTCAATGCTAAAATAACACTGCTCTTAAAGTCAGTATGATTAGAATTTACTTTTTAATACATGTTCCTGGTTTTATTGTGAATGATTCATCAATGCATATATATATATTTTTTGATTTACAGCTATGATTTTTGTTAATATTTTGAATGACATTTTAGATTTTATTTTGGTTAAAGTTTTAGTTGTGGTTTTGTCATTTTTATTATTATAATTTTTAAACATGTCTATATAGTTTTATTGTGTTTTAGTTTCTAACTTCATTTAGTTTTAGTTATCGTAGTACTTCAACTTCAACTAAAAATAAGAAATGTTGACTTGGCAACTAGCTGAAATAAGATACTACATTTGTAAAAATACATATTTTCAGTTCATATTGGTTTCATTTCAGGTAATAATTTGTGGTTTCGGTGGTTTTTGTTTGAGTTAATGATAACAGCCCTGCTCTACATTGGGCCAGAAGCATCCATGCGCTGCATAAGAAAATCTGTCTATGGACTCACGGCTTTAGCGCGGTCACAGGTCACATCCAGATCGCCCCGAGCCGGACAGTGACGGAGAGCTGAGCTTCTGTCTCTTTAAGCTGCTGGAGGAGCTGGACTACCAGGACTTCATCGGCTGTGAATACAAACCTCAGCGCGAGTCAGTCACTGCACATTTTTAACATTTGAATACTCACCATTGCTTTTATTAGCACACATCCATGAGGATATAACGTTGACAAGTCCACTGCTCACGACCAATGAAATGTTAAGATGAAAATAGAAATACTGTTGCACAAAAAGAGTATAAAGAGTCTAAATCTCATTTGAGATGCTTCATTTCCATACTGCAGCCAGTGTGATAGCTCAGCAACTCTTAGATTACAATGAGTATAGAGTATAATTTTATTCTTGATAGTTCATATTTGTAAATATGATTTTCCAGGCTCCACGGAAGCGGGTCTGGACTGGCTCAGAAGATACTGGAGATAGCTTTCTTTTCTAAAAAGCATTCTTGTATTAAAATGACAAGAATGTAATTTTCTAAAGCTTAAATAGACTCCCATTTTCAGTTGTTTTATTAACATTTGACTCGTCAGTAGCTATGAAATATGAGTTTTTCCACCTTTCAAGGCATTGCACATGAAGAACACTTCAGATGTTTTAATTTAAGATTTATTGTTAAGCGTTTTTCTTACAAATCCGCCTCTATATACATAATGTACAAATGACCTTTTCACACATTTGAATTGCTAATTAATGTTCTAACATTTTAATAAACCTTTCTTTCAAAAATGTCCAGTGTGCTCCGAGAAAACCAAACAGTAAAACAATTTCATTCTTCGGCGTCTGTCATTACAGGAGGTAAATCATCCCCCTTCATGTGAAATGAGTGTCAAAGGTTTTCCAGTGTCGTTTCAGCGCTGTGCTAGTTAGTAAGACTAATTGTTGCCCGCTCTTTATGTTGAAAGTATGTGAAGGCCATGCGACTAATTTAAAGGGGCAGTTCTCGCAAAAATTAAATTCTGTCATCATTTACTCACCCTCACATTGTTCCAAACCCATATGAGTTTCTTTTAACTGTTAAACACAAAAGAAGATGTTCTGAAGAATGTTGGTCACCAAACAGTTGCCGGTAGCCATTGACTTCAATAGTATTTTTTTCCATACTATGGAAGTCAGTGGCTACCATCAACTGTTTGGTTACCAACATTCTTCAAAACATCTTCTTTTGTGCTCAACAGAAGAAAGAAACTCATACAGGTTTGTTATGACATGAGGGTGAGTAAATGATGACAGAATTACATTTTTTGCGGGAACTGTCCCTTAAAGAGATTCTTCTTGAAAGGTGAACATAATACACTAGCTCCCATCAATTTCATATGAAAATAAAATAAAATAAAGGCACTTTTGGGATGAAAAAACGGCAGTAAAGACAATCATGTTGCACAAAGTGATGGGGCAAAAAAAAAATCTTTTGCACACGGGCTACAGAAACAACATCAACAACTGAGAGGAGATGGAGGAAAAAAACAAAGCACAAATGAACACTAGACTACAGAAGGACAGTATGGCTTTGGCAAACCAGCGGAGTCTCACACGCAGTAAATACACCCTCCCGGATAATCACCCTCCATCAACAGGGCGGCACATTTAGCTGTTTTCCTAAGCAAAATATTGGCAATTTAATTCCTTAACTGGATGCAACCTGGTCGACACAGCATGCATTATACACGCGAGACACATTCAGTCTCAGTCTAAGAGTGACAGGCAGCTCAAAGCTCAATCTTTATCAGACACTTGACTCCGTCTGATGCACCGCTGGCAGAAACACAGGTTCACAGCAGGCCTGTCCAGAGGTTGTAGCAGGCGGTGTTGATGACCGACTCCAGATGGTGGTACATGGAGACCAGCTGCGGTGGAGGACTGCTGCTCGACTGCGTCTGCGCAGGTAACGGCTCCCTGAAAACAACCTTCAGACTCTGGAGGCAGCAGAAGACAGTGAAACGCTGAGATTTACACTGGGATCATGTTTGATGTACAGTAAACGACTGAATGAACCTTATCTGACAAGAACAAGTCCACATTTCACCCCATAATCAAAAGAACAAGATAAATATATATATATATATATATAAAGTGTTTGCAGCTTAAAGTTTGTAGGTTATTTGTAGGAACATTTAGGCACAATGAGATTTCATAATAAAATTCAATAATTCATAGTTCAAATAAAAGACATCTTCACATCCCAGTTCTCATGGTAATACAAAAAAAAAAAAAAAAATTTTCAGTTGTTTTATTAACATTTGACTCGTCAGTAGCTATGAAATATGAGTTTTTCCACCTTTCAAGGCATTGCACATGAAGAACACTTCAGATGTTTTAATTTAAGATTTATTGTTAAGCGTTTTTCTTACAAATCCGCCTCTATATACATAATGTACAAATGACCTTTTCACACATTTGAATTGCTAATTAATGTTCTAACATTTTAATAAACCTTTCTTTCAAAAATGTCCAGTGTGCTCCGAGAAAACCAAACAGTAAAACAATTTCATTCTTCGGCGTCTGTCATTACAGGAGGTAAATCATCCCCCTTCATGTGAAATGAGTGTCAAAGGTTTTCCAGTGTCGTTTCAGCGCTGTGCTAGTTAGTAAGACTAATTGTTGCCCGCTCTTTATGTTGAAAGTATGTGAAGGCCATGCGACTAATTTAAAGGGGCAGTTCTCGCAAAAATTAAATTCTGTCATCATTTACTCACCCTCACATTGTTCCAAACCCATATGAGTTTCTTTTAACTGTTAAACACAAAAGAAGATGTTCTGAAGAATGTTGGTCACCAAACAGTTGCCGGTAGCCATTGACTTCAATAGTATTTTTTTCCATACTATGGAAGTCAGTGGCTACCATCAACTGTTTGGTTACCAACATTCTTCAAAACATCTTCTTTTGTGCTCAACAGAAGAAAGAAACTCATACAGGTTTGTTATGACATGAGGGTGAGTAAATGATGACAGAATTACATTTTTTGCGGGAACTGTCCCTTAAAGAGATTCTTCTTGAAAGGTGAACATAATACACTAGCTCCCATCAATTTCATATGAAAATAAAATAAAATAAAGGCACTTTTGGGATGAAAAAACGGCAGTAAAGACAATCATGTTGCACAAAGTGATGGGGCAAAAAAAAAATCTTTTGCACACGGGCTACAGAAACAACATCAACAACTGAGAGGAGATGGAGGAAAAAAACAAAGCACAAATGAACACTAGACTACAGAAGGACAGTATGGCTTTGGCAAACCAGCGGAGTCTCACACGCAGTAAATACACCCTCCCGGATAATCACCCTCCATCAACAGGGCGGCACATTTAGCTGTTTTCCTAAGCAAAATATTGGCAATTTAATTCCTTAACTGGATGCAACCTGGTCGACACAGCATGCATTATACACGCGAGACACATTCAGTCTCAGTCTAAGAGTGACAGGCAGCTCAAAGCTCAATCTTTATCAGACACTTGACTCCGTCTGATGCACCGCTGGCAGAAACACAGGTTCACAGCAGGCCTGTCCAGAGGTTGTAGCAGGCGGTGTTGATGACCGACTCCAGATGGTGGTACATGGAGACCAGCTGCGGTGGAGGACTGCTGCTCGACTGCGTCTGCGCAGGTAACGGCTCCCTGAAAACAACCTTCAGACTCTGGAGGCAGCAGAAGACAGTGAAACGCTGAGATTTACACTGGGATCATGTTTGATGTACAGTAAACGACTGAATGAACCTTATCTGACAAGAACAAGTCCACATTTCACCCCATAATCAAAAGAACAAGATAAATATATATATATATATATATAAAGTGTTTGCAGCTTAAAGTTTGTAGGTTATTTGTAGGAACATTTAGGCACAATGAGATTTCATAATAAAATTCAATAATTCATAGTTCAAATAAAAGACATCTTCACATCCCAGTTCTCATGGTAATACAAAAAAAAAAAAAAAACTAAATTCTCATTACTGTAATGACATAAAAAGATAACAAATAAAATTATTAATTACAAGAAACAAAATAATAAATATTGTTATTTAGTATAATTTATGCATCATGATTTTCTGCTTTTAAATTATTGAAAAATTATTTAATATAAAAACAATTATATTACAATACTCCTTTATTTTAATATAAAGATTAAATATTAAGATTTACTGCATTACAAAAATGAGAATCACCCTTAAGAATAATAATTACAAAACAACAACAACAACAACAAAAAAGCATTATGGTAATGAGAACTAGGAGAAAAATGCTTAGTGTAATGTATTGTACAGTATAATATAAGTTTTATAATTGAAATATAGTGTTTAAATTATTAAATTGGTCTATATCTGTTTAATGATCAGAAGAAAATTCTTAAAATAAAACTATCTATTTAAAATAAAATAATAAATAAAATAAAATAAAATAAAATAAAATAAAATAAAAATTAAATTAAAAATAAAAATAAAATAAAATAAAATAAAATAAAATAAACTCACAGTTTTTCCTGCCTGTGTGTCCAGGAAAACAAGCACAAAACAGTCAGTGAACTTCTGGTTCAGGACGGCCTGGAAAAGAGAGAGAGTTTATGCCCAAACAACACACTATTTAAACACTCAACATCTCGACGCCAGATGTTTATTTTTATTTTTAAATTGAACCCTGATCTTCACAATCCATTTCACACGGATTGGTGCTCAGCATTAGGAAACACAGCGTCAACCTCAGGGAAACAAAGGCAGGTGTTGTTTGTGTGAATATGGAGGATGAAATGATCATCAGTTCAGGGAATCTGCATAAGCCCACGACATCTCCAATTACAGAATGACGTATGAAGTGGCTTTCAAACACACCTGAGGATCTGACGATTATCATCGGGAGGATTCGCTCACATTAACTAGTACACAGGCACGGAGGTCTCATAATGTACCACGCTTTACCATGTGTTTCACGGGCCTCAAGTAACCAAGTTCAAAGTCTTTCCAGGAGAATAATGATTCAAGAGCGCTTTGCCATCAGCGCTTCCCGTCTCGTAATGCACTATGACGGGACTAACATCTCACACGGCCCATGACACGACTGTACAGCCTGAGGATCTGCTTCATGTGCAATATGTGAGAATATGAGCTTACAAAAGTGTTGCACGTCCCTGCAAATCTTGTTTTTCTGTTCATCAGAGAATCCTGAAAAAATGCGTCAAGGCACAACTGTTTTGAACATTGATAATAATCAGAAATGTTTCTTGAGCAGCAAATCAGCATATTAGAATGATTTCTGAAGATCATGTGACACTGAAGACTGGAGTAATGATGCTGAAAATTCAGCTTTGATCACAGCAATAAATTACAGTTTACAATATATTCACATAGATAACTGTTATTTTAAATTGTAATAATATTTCACAATTTTACAGATTTTTTATCTGTATTTTTGCTCAAATAAACGCAGCCTTGGTGAGCAGAAGAGATCTCTTACCAGGTACTGTATGCCGCAGTCGTCTTTAAAGTGCCTGCAGTTCTGTGGGAAGCGGGACAGCAGGACTTTGATGAGACTCTGGTACCAGGCGGGACTCATATTCAGGAAACAGTCCTAAAAAAAACACAATTACAAAAACTCATACGGGTTTGCAACGACATCAATGACGATAGAATTTTAATTTTGCACTTTTATCAAGATTATTCAATTTTTTTTTTCCCTTAAACTAGGAAACAGTTATTATAAATGATAATAATATGTCACAATATTACTGTTTTTATTGTATTTTTGATCAAGTAAATGCAGCCTTAGTGAGCAGAAGAGACTTCTTTCAAAAACATGAAACAATCTTACCAACCAAAAACCTCGTACAGGTTTGCAATGACACGAGGGACAGAATTTTCATTTTGCACTTTTATAATGATTATTCAGTTTTGTTTTGCATAGATTTAGTTTATTACACCATATCAGCATCAAAGGCTACAAGAATGATAAGATTTAAAAAAGTTGGTGGACAGTAATTTAACAATTTTATTTTTACAAACAAATAAAATAAAAAATGAATAAAAACGAACAATTATATACAATCTTTCACACTGATATTTGATTAAAATGTAAATATTTTTCCAGGCCAAACTTTGTCCATTAATGCACTTTCTAAGTAAATATGTCCAATAAAATATACTTTACACACATACATTATTTATGCATTTATGGTGTGTGTGTGTGCTGAATAATAAGTGAGTAATACTGTCAAAAGTGCAAAATTCTAATTATAAGCATAAATATGCACGTAAGTTACTATTATGTGGATAGTTATGCATAACAAAATTTATATGTACATTTTAAGTTTGAATAAAAGTTGAAAAAGATTATTCAATGTTTAAAAAGCCTTTGAGCTCCTGAAATACTGGAGCAGAATATTTCTCTTTAAATTAGCCCGGCCTGTGCACACAAAGCATTATTATTTTTCAGATCAGATTTCATCGGCCGTTTCAAGTCAGCGAAACTACAGGAAGGCAGTTTTCACAGTCTGGCTGCGGCAGTAAATTTGTAAAAAGATGTAATTTGCTGCAAGTTTCTCCTGGTCTGATATCACGGCAGGAGTACATCTCCACTTCCTTTGTGAGCGTGTGCGGCTCTGACAGAGGTGTACATCATCCCAGCGCTCAGATTAGCAGTCGTGGCACACGAGCGGCCCGCTCGCTAACATTGACCAAGCGATTCTGCTCGTGTGAAGGGAATACAGAAGCGTGCGGCACATGAATAGATGAGGAATCAAATGCATTAATATGCGGGCGTCCGTGGGGGAATCTGAGGCTATGGCACATGAACGGGAGCATGTTTGCCAGCCGTGATCCCGCAGCACATCCTTCACAGCCCGTGTCACGTATGACGCCTATTGAGAACCTACTGAATACTGAAACCGGATGATTTCTTGTGATTTTCAGTTCTGCAAAACTGTAATAAAGTACTGCATGATGGATCAGCCAATAGGGGCAACCGACCACCACCTCATTATCATATTGGAAATATCAGTCGGAAATACACCGTAAATAAATGCATAATACAGATATAAATGATCCTTAGAATAAATAAATTCAATAAATTATTATCATTATTAATGAATACATTAGTAAATTAATAAATAAATAAATAAATATATGACTGCTATATATATATAATACAATTTATCCACTGGATCATCTATTTATGTATGTATTATTTATTCTGTGCCATACACATTTATTTACAACACCTTTTTTAAAAGTTTGGAGGCAATTTGGGATTTTTTGTTGTTGTTGTTGTTGAAAAAAATGAACACTTTTATGCTTTTAGCATGCATTCAATTGATCAAAAGTGACAGTAAAGACATTTATAATGTTAGAAAAGGTTTCTATTTCAAATAAATGCTGTTCTTTTTAACTTTTTATTAATTAAATAATCCTGGAAAAAAGTATCTAAAAGTAGCACAATTGTTCTCAACATTGATAATAATAAGAAATGTTTCTTTAAAAAAAAGTCATTCCTGATTTACAACACCTTTTTTAAAAGTTTGGAGGCAATTTGGGATTTTTTTTGGGAACACTTTTATGCTTTTAGCATGCATTCAACTGATCAAAAGTGACAGTAAAGACATTTATAATGTTAGAAAAGGTTTCTATTTCAGATAAATGCTGTTCTTTTGGACTTTCTATTAATCAAAGAATCCTGAAAAATAAAATATATCACCGTTTCCACAAAAATATGAAGCAGCTCAGCTGTTTTCAACATTGATAATAATCAGAAATATTTCTTTATCAGCAAATCAGCATATTAGAGTGATTTGTGAAGATCATGTGACACTGAAGACTGGCGTAATGATGCTGAAAATTCAGCTTTGATCACAGAAATAAATGACATTTTACAATATATTCACATAGAAAATAGTTATTTTAAACTGTAATAATATTTCACATTTTTACTGTATTTTTGATCAAATAAATGCAGCCTTGGCAAGCAGAAGAGACATTAAAAACATTAAAAAACCTTACTGATCCCAAACTTTTGAACAGTTTCACTCAGTTATTAATGAGCTATTTTATGATTCAGTTTTGGTCCTCTGTATAACAAATCCTCCATGTCTGAAGCTACATACATCTGTGCTGTATCAAACACAGTGATGTTTGTTGGCATGAGCGGCACATTTAGAGTTACTACTGCTGTGTAATCAAATCACGAACGAGCACCCTGTTGGTGAAGGATGCGGCGTGTGAACCTGTGCACGTGTTGGTCCAGGAGGGATAATTTATGCCGTAAATAAGGAACGGAGTGTAATATTAAAGGGCTGATTTCCTGTGCTAATTAGCTGATGTTTATCGCGGTGTGCTGATGAGTAGGCCGCGTGTTTTCCCTACGGAGTGCTGCATTTGCATGTTTGTTGTCAGCCACCCATCAAACAAACTGCACTGAGCCAGCCGCTGATCAGACCGTCCTCAATAAACTGCAGAACAAAGGAAAAAACATGCAATTTTCCCACGCTTTCTTAAAGACTGCTGTCAGTGTGTACAGGAAAACAGAGTGCTGCACTTTCTATGAACAGGACGTCCTATTGAATCCTAAAGCGTCCTCCAATTTTATTGATTTATTTTATTTGATATTTTTTAAATTCTGAGAACTATTTTGTTAGGATTGAGCATAAAATTAACATGCAAAGTACTTTTAAAACATCATATTGCTTAATTAATATTATACAATAGTAGTAAACAATTATTATAGTGCTTACTGCATTTGTCAACAATTCAAACTTTTTACCAAAGTTATTTTAAAAACCAAATCAAACAAATACTTTTATTTAATTCATGCAGAATACAAGTTATCAATAACTAACAAGATTTGGGCCCAAACTACCTATCTAATTTAGGGTAAATCTGCAACCTAAATCTATCAAAAATGTATTTATTATTTATTGCTAAATTAAATTAAATTAAATTAAATTAAATTAAATTATCACACAGACAAGGATCAGGGCTTAATTTAATCGATTATTGAAATTGATTATTTAATTGATTATTATTACTTTGATAAATTAATTTTTTATTTAATTATATTTATTAATCACACAGAGAGGGATCAATTGGGAAAAATATTAACTTTGTTTATTTGAACTTTATATTTAACTTTATTAATATTTTTAATTAACATTAAATACTGTATAACAATGTTTAAATTAAAAATGTAATATTTTCCATAATAAATAATTTTAACTTTATTAACATTTTTAATTAACATTAAATACTGTATAAAAATGTTTAAATTAAAAATGTAATATTTTCCATAATAAATAATTTAATAAGATCTATAACATTATTTTTCTTATTATTTTTTTAAATACTTAATAATAATAATAAAATAATATTATTATTTTTATCATTATTATTAATAATAGTAATATTTATAATATTATTATTTTCTTTTATTTAACATCAATTAAATTAAATTAAACTT